CACTTAAGTTTTATATTATTTTCACAAAACCTCTAATGGATAACTAGAGTACTCATTCTTAGATAACTAGAACGATCATATATATGTGTGGTTGGGGTTTAACCAAAAAAGATTCATATATGTGGTGCACAAGTACAAATCCCACTTTCTTAAAAACGAAATGAATCACTTGTGTGACCTTCAAGATGTGATCTGACCTTCAATATTTTGCGTTCAGATTGAAAGATCATTGACCATGTATCAAATTGAGCTCCATCCAACAATATTAGTTAAATTGAACACACTAAAATATAAGACAACTCAATACAAGGAGGAAGGAAGCAACAATGAGACTAGTTAAAAATTAACTTACAAGCTCTTTCAGCTTCTGAACAAACCTATCAATATAGCCATCCATAAACCCGGGAGTTGATAGTGTTTCCCTCCACTTTGCATGGTTCTTCTTCACCATAACACCCACTTCATTGTCCTTAGCCATAACGGTTGTAATGGCTTTGCTCAAGCTCTCTTTCGAAAACCATCCATTTTCTTCTCTCTCTACCTCCACAGCAACTTTGAGATCTTTAACCAGTATCTTGGTGTTTAATATATGGTCAGCACCGTGTGGAACCAGCACAATCTGATTGTTACTCACCAAAGACTCCCACAATGCCCCAAAGCCACAATGGCTCACAAAGCACCCAACTGATGGGTGGCTCAAAATCAATGTCTGCTGCACCCAACCACCAAACACCACCCCTCTCCCTTTAACTCTCTCTTCAAACCCTTGTGGCAATGCCTCTTCAATCGTAGCACAACCCACGGGTGGTTTTAGAGCTACAAAAAATGGCAGCCCAGTTAGCTCAAATCCTAACACAAGCTCTTGAAATTGGTCCTTTTCAAGCACCCACTGGCTTCCAAATCCACAAAACACCACAGATTCTGTTTCAAACCCAGAAAACCAATTAGCCCAGATGTCTTCTAATTGTTCACTCTTCTTCTTGTTCTTATTATTAGAGTCCATCGCGCCCAAAACAGGGCCAGTTAAAAGCACAGGCTTTTTATACTGTGCTTCCAGGTAATCGCAAAAAACACCTTCCACTTCTCTGCATGTTCTGATGCAAATCGCGTCACATCCTTTCTTAGCGGTCATGAGCCGCTCATAAAAAGTGATCCCATCTCCATACGGCATCGTAATGAACATCAAGGACTGGACTTCG